ATAAATGTAACTTATTATTTATTATTACTGTCTCTTATACACATCTAGATGTGTATAAGAGACAGCCTGTGTACTCTGACAACTCCTCATCATCCTCATCAGGTGATGATGAGATTGGTAACAATTTGCTATCATGAACTGAAACAAGAAAAACCAATAATTACTATTGATAAATCTGCATTTACACTGCTAAACCAACCACACAAACAAATGGAAATAATAGATGCAAGAGATAGAGAGGAAAATAGGAAAGTAACAGAGGAAAGTAATTGAGGGAAAAGAGAAAGAGGATGGAATACCTGATGCTGTGACACTGCTGTTACTGCTTCCACTCGTTGAGCTCAACAGACTCTCATGTGATCCTTGTTTGTCACTCAGACCATTTCTATGATTCTGAAAAAAAGAGAAGAAAAAATTAAAAGACAACACCAGTACAAAATATTACTCTTGACAGATAAACATATTATAAACCAGTATCAGAAACTGTCAGTATTATATAATGCAAGTCTCATACTAAAAGAAAAATACAAGTTTAAATTTTCTTTAGCATATAATTTTGGCAATTACTGACATAACGGAACAATGTGATGCTCTATTGCATAATTCTCATTAAGCTTGAGGTGTGCAATTGTTTTTGTCTGAAAATATGGAGGAGGACAAGGCAAAATCACACTCCTTTTTCAAGTTTTCCTTAGAATAGGAGGATCGCTAGATTAAGTATCTACCAAGTAAACGATGTCAATCAAGGACCAAGTGTGTTAACCACCGACCTACGGTCCCATCAGGAGCCTGGGATTTATTTTTATTTTATTTATTTCCAGGCGCAAACAATAATATTTATTTATTTATTCTTTCTTTTTACTGAATATACGCTTTCAATACATAGTACTGGTTTCCAAAGTGGTTCAGTTCTTAAATACAAAATTTTAAAAGCAGATATATACAGTAATTATGGTAACCAAAAAAAGTGGATAATTTAACTACAAATTAAAATAGATTTAAAAGGAACATTGAAGGAAACTTAAGAAAATAAAAAATTTAAATAATAAAAATGGATATGCAAGGTAAGAGAAAAATTTAGGTTAAATTAAGATGGTATTATTGAGGATTAGAAATAGAATGCTTAAAATTTAAAAGTGTCATAGACTTAAAGTTGGTTTTAATATGATCTGGGAGTTTATTCCATAATTTAGTAGATCGGTATAAAAAAATTCTTTTACCTTGGATATTATTCCAGGTGTATTCAATTAGTGTATTTTTACTTTGACTGCGAGTACAATGCATATGCAAATCATAATTAAAAACAAAATTTTTCGATAAATATGATGGAGCATGACCATTTAAACATTTGAAAATCATTATGAGCAATTGTTCGTCCCATTTATCACTGAGTTTGCTCCAACCTAACGAACTTAAGATATTTACAGCTGGGGTTTTTATGTCTGCAGAAAGCAAAATTCTTCCTAATCTGTTTAAAAGTATTTGAAGTGAATTTGAAAGTTTAATATTACAGTTGGACCAAACACAATTACAGTAATCAAAAAGAGGCATAACTAGAGCGTTAACCAACATCTTAAGAGTATTATGGGGTAAAAAATATTTAATACGGCAGATAACACCGATGCGTTTAGAGATGTTACCAGTTAATTTTTCAATATGTTCAGACCATGTTAATTTAGAATCAAACACAACTCCAAGATATTTGAATGAATCAACTCTGTCAATAGTCATGCCATTATAAAATAATGAAATATTTTAAAATTTAGGTAAAATTGCATTGGTTCCAAAGATCATAAGTTTAGTTTTTTTAATATTTAATGTAAGTTTATTTTTATCAAACCATTCAGCAACTTTGATTAAATTTGAATTTAGTTCATTTTGGAGAAGAGTGGGATCGGAAGAATTGCATAAAATGGTAGTATCGTCAGCATACACTACACATTTACATTGAGTGACATTTGGTAGGGAATTAACATAGATAATAAATAACAATAGCATTCAGTAACTTCAACAAAATTTGACATGAAATATAAAATACAATAACATAAAACAAGGCTTGTGGATTGCTTTAAAAGAGAACTAAAAAAGCACTCCAAAAAGGACAATAACAAACAATCAAAACAAACAAAATGACATCAGATGAAAGATATTTCCTTGCCTGGTACAAGCAACCAATTTTTTTGTAATTAACTTTACCTAACCTTGTGATTGTTTCCCCCAGTTCAGGGATGAAGTGATTTCAAGTCCGAACAGTCTAAGACATGATACCCATTCATCCAGCTAAGTCGAGGCTATTTTATAATAATAATAATAATAATCTTTATTTATTCACGAGACTCTTTCACCCACTGTGTGTTCTTACAAAAGGCTGTGAGGTACATAAATACAATTGTATAAAACTTATCCATGCTTTCTGTGTTGTCAAATCACTTGAATAACTGTACAAGTATTACAGAATTTTGACTTTTTAGTTCTTTCTAGAACAGGTCTTATCTAGACATGGCATATTTTATTTTGGAAGACTATTCATTTATATCTTTAGCTTATGAGGCATCCCATCAGGCAAAATTTTATGTAAAGTGCATAGAGGCACTGTGCAATATGCGCTATATAAATGTAACTTATTATTTATTATTATCATTCCTTCAACAGTATTTACTTTCACTACTTACAAGTGTCTAAGTGTCTACAGCCAGTGGCGTAACTACCGTAGGTTCAACAGGTTCATTGAACCTGGGCCCCTGAGCTCCAAGGGCCCCCAACCTATAAGGGCACCGTCTCCTTATAAAAATTCAAAATAAAGAAATACACATCTTTAAGATGACAATGGTTATGCATTTGCTGCTCTCGGGCTCACCTAATTCTTCTTATATGTTTGTGAATTTCTGATTTTTTGTATTTGTAATGTTTTATAATTATTATTTGTTTTGACAGAATGAATAAAATACAAAAAATAAAGTAAAATAAATACTCCGTTCAAATGATTTCCAATTTTTAGTTGTCAACTTATGTTTTCACCATGGCAGATTTTGTAATCAAATTTTGTTTTATAATTCTTGCTGCACATTTTTGCAGTCTTTTTACAATATCTACATTTTTCTCGGATATGTTTCTCCTAACCGAAATTGCATAATCTATGGTTCGATTGTTCTTTTGTGTAAGGTAATAAGTAAAGATTGGGGCAATGTTTCGGCCAATTTCCCTAGGTTATAAATCTTGACGCTTACATTTTTGTGTTTTATATGATAATTCCATGTTAAGTTTTTGTCTTTAAACCCTAATATCTTATATGTTTTTCTTGTTCGATACTTTTTCCGGAATGAAGGTATATTCTGGTTTCCAATTAGCATAATTTTTGTCCTAACTGCATTTAATTTCAACTTATTTCCGACACTCCACTTACAAATATTTTCTAAAATAGTTAGTAAAATTCGTATTTAATTCATCAACTTGTATTTCTGAAACATAAATAGCAACATCGTCCGCTAAAACACTGCAAGTAACCAGGAAAAATAAATTGTGAAATATCATTTATGAATAACAAAAATAAAGTTGGACCCAAGACACTACCCTGTGGTATGCCAATTCCGATCGATTTAGAGGTGATATTGTGTTCCCTTTTCCTACCAATCCTTTTACCACTATACACAAAAATCGTATCGTGTAATAAACCAACATATTTCAACAGAGTATGAACTCTTATATAGCATCAATAAGAAGATCTATTACACACGGTAAAGGCATGTAACAGTTGAATGGTAGTTCCTGAAAGCATATTGGTAAACATTCACTGTATAAGGTCATTTTCATTTCAACAATGTTGGCTATGTGGCATGCTACTGAGGTCGGTCTACAATTGTTAGGGCTTGGTTGCCTGCAAATGGGGGTAGCCAGAGACTTCCCAATCATTTGGAACGATACCATTAACTAACGATTTATCTATAATGGAACATAGCAATTTCGCGATACAGCGTGCTGAAAGTCAGAAACTATATGCCAGATTCTCTTCAATACCGCCAGATACAAGTACCGTGCAATTTAGTGTTTGAACACAACTTGCGTTTTTCCTTTGTGTTTGTCTTCCTTTAATTGAGTTTGAAATGTCTGTTCCTATATTACTAAAATAATCGCTAAAATTTTAACAATCAGGATTTGGATGAATATTGTTTGAATTTTTGTTTCCCCCTGTAAGTTCATTCTCTTTTATCCCACAAACATTTGGGATCATTTGTGTTTGCTGCAAACTGATAAAAAATAATATGACTCTGATTTTTTAATTTTACTCGTGCATTTGTTTCTAAGTGAACGATATTTATCAAAAGGTGTTTGGCTGCTATGTTTATCGGATTTAAGTTTTACATGATCAGTCATACATAGTCTAATGATGTCAGATGTGATAAATTTCATTTTATTTAGCTTAAGTATATAACACTATACAAGATAATTGTTGACAATTGTTCAATGGTTAATCCGATAAATGAAATCACAAATGAAAAGGTTCTGAACACCAGAATATAATGCTGTGCTGTGCACACTTTATCATAACTAAAAATAGGCTCCCAGCGTGGGCGGGTTTCTACTACTTGATAGTTCTTTTTTTTTTTTTTTTGTGGCTACTTTTAACTCATAATCCATCCATAATAATAATAATAATAATAATAATAATCTTTATTTATTCACGAGACTCTTTCACCCACTGTGTGTTCTTACAAAAGGCTGTGAGGTACATAAATACAATTGTATAAAACTTATCCATGCTTTCTGTGTTGTCAAATCACTTGAATAACTGTACAAGTATTACAGAATTTTGACTTTTTAGTTCTTTCTAGAACAGGTCTTATCTAGACATGGCATATTTTATTTTGGAAGACTATTCATTTATATCTTTAGCTTATGAGGCATCCCATCAGGCAAAATTTTATGTAAAGCGCATAGAGGCACTGTGCAATATGCGCTATATAAATGTAACTTATTATTTATTATTATCATTCCTTCAACAGGATTTACTTTCACTACTTACAAGTGTCTAAGTGTCTACAGCCAGTGGTGTAACTACCGTAGGTTCAACAGGTTCATTGAACCTGGGCCCCTGAGCTCCAAGGGCCCCGTCCCCTTATAAAAATTCAAATAAAGAAATACACATCTTTAAGATGACAATGGTTATGCATTTGCTGCTCTCGGGCTCACCTAATTATTCTTATATGTTTGTGAATTTCTGATTTTTTGTATTTGTAATGTTTTATAATTGTTATTTGTTTTGACAGAATGAATAAAATACAAAAAATAAAGTAAAATAAATACTCTGTTCAAATGATTTCCAATTTTTGTTATCAACTTATTTTTTATAATTCTTGCTGCACATTTTTGCAGTCTTTTTACAATATCTACATTTTTCTCGAATATGTTTCTCCTAACCGAAATTGCATAATCTATGGTTCGATTGTTCTTTTGTGTAAGGTAATAAGTAAAGATTCGGGCAATGTTTCAGCCAATTTCAAAGTCTTAGTAGCCTAGTATCAAAATTATGAACATCAAGTTTATTATTTTCAGAAGCTATATGCCAGATTCTCTTCAATACCGCCAGATACAAGTACAGTGCAATTTAGTGAACACAATTTGCGTTTTTTCTTTGTGTTTGTCTTCCATTAATTGAGTTTGAAACGTCTGTTCCTATATTACTAAAATAATCGCTAAAATTTTAACAATCAGGATTTGGATAAATATTGTTTGAATTTTTGTTTCCCCCTGTAAGTTCATTCTCTTTTATCCCACAAACATTTGGGATCATTAGTGTTTGCTGCAAACTGATAAAAAATGATATGACTCTGATTTTTTAATTTTACTCGTGCATTTGTTTCTAAGTGAACGATATTTATCAAAAGGTGTTTGGCTGCTATGTTTATCGGATTTAAGTTTTACATGATCAGTCATACATAGTCTAATGATGTCAGATGTGATAAATTTCATTTTATTTAGCTTAAGTATATAACACTATACAAGATAATTGTTGACAATTGTTCAATGGTTAATCCGATAAATGAAAAAAAAAAACATCAGTTCTATAAATATTGAATGTGCTTTTTCTTTTGGTCATAAAAAGTAGAAATGCTTATCATTATTGTCAGTCCAGCTAATAACTGACTCTTCAACATGCCCTCTGAGAACATCGAAAAATTAAAAATAAAAGAGATCGAAAGATTTATTGTAAAAATAGTATAAAACATTGTAAGGACCCCTGCTCCTAAATTAACCCATGGGTGGTACACATCTTAGTTGACATGGTCAATCAATTTGCATGTGTCAAGGGGCCCCACTGTACCCCACTGTAGTTATGCCACTGTCTACAGCGCCCCACTGGGGCAGTAGACACAATAACTCCTTATAAGCATCATCATGAGACTAGGTTAACACTGTATATTACATTCTACTTCAATTTGACATCAGTATACTAATTCAAAATGGTTGTTGTGATTGTAGTGATAATGGGTGTTAATTTTAGGTCATTAGGTTCTTTCCATCTTTAGACATTTTACAGAGTACTTATTTCATTCATACACCTGTCAGTCACCAGCCTTACCTCAGTTTGCTTCATTGTACTGTTTGATATTTTCTTTTTTATCTTCTTCAACACACTTGCTGACTTATGATGCTGCAAACAAAAATAAATCAATAAATTTATATAATATAATTTTATAAATATTAATTAGAAGTTTTAAATTGATAAGCACAACACAAAAAAAAATATATCTTGAAGATTTTAAAATTATTAAAAAAAACATTTAATCCCTATAAACCTCATGCTAGAATATGGTTCTGAGTAAGAATAAAATTTAATGCAATGTAGTTAGATTTATATAGCACTTTGTCATGTTAAAGCACTTGAGGCATGGACTAGTGTCTAGTAACTTCCTTCTGCCCTAATTGTCTCTTTGCGTCTGAGCTACCAGGTAGGTAGCTCAGACGCTTTACTGCAATAAAACAGATTTCCAAAATGTTGACATTCCAGCATGTTTTGGCCATTATCTCTGAAACAGGATTTGCAATGAGTGACTGGTTTGGCTTGTTTTTGCCACATATATGGTATGATGGATGGAAAATTTTGGTTTGGTGTTTTATATATTGAATGGTTGCCAAAATTAGTAGCAAAAAATATATATAATAATAATAATAATAATAATAATAATAATAATAATAATAATAATAATAATAATAATAATAATAATAATTTTGGCTTATATAGGGCATTATGCTAAAGCCTCAATGCACTTAACTATAAAAATTATAATGCCATGAGAAAAAATTAAGAATAGTACAGGTTAAAAAGGGGATTTTTGTCTTTGTATTATACTGTATGTATTATTCCAGATGATGCTTAAATAAAAGTGAAACGTTGAATAAAATGACCTTGTCAATTTTTGGAGTGACAATTAAAAAGGTGAGTTTTTAAAGCTGCCTTTAAATTAACAATGAAAGCTGTATGTTGTATTGTGATGGGCAAAGCATTCCAAAGAAATACAGAAGCCCAAGAAAAAGAACGATTGCCATAATGCTTTGTTGACGGACGAAAAAAATCAGCAAGTAGAGACTCTGAACTCTAAACTATATCTCAGAGACACCTTAAGAATATAACAATGAATTAGTTGTGAAATATACGTTGGTGAGGAATTATGAAGAGATTTGAAATCAATAACAAAATCTTGAAAGTGATTCTCTGTGTTACAGGAAGCCAATGAAGTTGGCCCTTATCGGGCTTAAAGAGACCAAGCGGACAGCTCCATTCTGAACAGGGCCGCCAAGAGGGGAAACTGTAACAGGGAAAGGGTTGGTGTGGGCCCCCAGTTACGAGGGCAAAGCGCGAAAAAGATTGCGCCGAAGACGCAAAAAAAAAAAAAAAATGTTGAGGGGCACTGTCAATCTGAAGGGGCCCATTATTAGGGGACCCATGCCATTATTGAGGGCCCATGATAGTAATTATTATCTGTGAAAAAACGTATGGAAAAAAATTCTACCTGCAAATTCTATGGACCCCCCCCCCCCACTTCCCTGGTAAGCTTGGGCCCCGGGTATCTTTCCCACTGCCCTCTCTTGGTGGTAATGATTCTGAATTTGCTGAAGTTTTGAAATACCATTAGCTGGCAAACCATAAAGCAATGAGTTACAACAGTCTACCTTTGATGTTACAAAAGCATGAATGAGGTTCATGTTAAGGTTACAATTACAATGCGAGCATAAATAAGTTGTTCCAGCAACTTTAATTTGATATGTAAACAAACCTCAATTCCAGAAGACTTTGCTTTACTTGAGGAACATTCATCCAAACTTCTCTGAAAATAAAAATTAGAAACATTTCTTAAAACACAATTTGAAAAACATGAAATAGAACAAATTTAGCAGATACCAAAGAATATGGAACTGTACATTTTATTAAACAAATTTATACTAATACACATCTTGCATAAGTTTAAGAAAAGTCCATACAAAATCCTTCTCCTTTTTTGTCATTGTTACACCATACTGCCATCAAATTTTAACATCAACATCATCATCACTTTAACAAATTTAACTGTAAATATTGATAATGACTAAATAAAATTAAATGATGGAGATACATATTCACCTGTGTTCTCATAGAGCGCGATGGTTTACTATTAAACTTTTGGTCATATCCTGGTGACTTCTCCAGGACACCACTTGAAGTTGACTTTGCTCTTCTATGATTCAAAGACTCCTTAGCAGAAGGCGAGTCTGCATGCATCCCAACACGCTCTGAACGTATGGCACTCGATGTCCATGTGCGGTAAGAGTCCTGAACATCTGAATTCAGATCAAGAATTTCAAAAGCGGACGAAAAACTATCGTCAGTGTTAGCTGGTGAGCTGTTCACAGTGTTGGAGGTGAAAGGGTAACCATTCTGACCACCACTGTTAGGCTGTATTTCAGTGTAGATACGAGTTACATATTCATTGATTGGAGGCTCGGCATATTCATGTTCTACAGTGCCACGGAAAAAATCTACAAAAGGTATAAATTGAAAATTTATTAGTGATGAGAGTGTTGTTTACATTTCATTTCATTTATTTGTCTCAAACTAAAATGTACAAAAACAGAAACAGCAAAGAACAACCACACAAGCACAAGAAAAAAACATGAGGACACTCCAAAAGTAAATATTAATAATAATTAATTAAAAAAAATTTCATCAGGGAGTTGTATTGTTCTAGTAACAAGAAAGTTACAAAACTTCTGAAAGAATGGAGAGTTAAGATGCTTGAGAGTTATACTGCCCTCTACTAACCTTGATTTAATAGAATAAAACCAGGCTCTTCATTTTTGTTCTTCTTTTCTTTGCCAATCTTGTGCGGACTCTGGCAATCTATCTGAAATTAATCATAATTTATTTTATAAAGATATGCATTATGTAATGCCATGTTGAAAATCAGCTGCTAAAATGATAATTTGATTCTTTAAACATATTTAGGAAAGACAGAAACAGAGAGAGAGAGAGGTTGGGTTGCCATTTATGTTAATCTAAATGGTGGTTTCACATATTAGATAAGAAATGATCTTATGCTTAATGATTTAGAAATGATAATTTTAGAAATTGTACAACCAAAATGTAAACCATTTATTATTGTATCTTGGTATCGTCCTCCTGGCTCAGACATGGGCCTATTTGAAAAGATAGACTATGTTTTAGAAAAAACTGAGAATAAGGAAGACATGATTTTTGGTGACATAAATTGCGACTTACTATTTGCTAACCCATCATGTTCTACACTGAAAATGAAAGAAATTACGACTAATTTTCACCTTAAACAACTCATTACTGAACCTTCAAGAATTACTGAAACAAGTAAAACACTTACTAATGACTACTAATCAATCGATTAGAATTGATCAATTTTCATTCAGTCTAGTTGATGAAGAATATATTTATAAACAAATTTATAAACTATCAGCAAAAAAAGCAACGGGAAATGACAAAATACCAATTAAACTAATCAAATTAAATCAACTCCATTTTAGCACATATCACTTACATTATTAATTTACCACTAACCACAGGATCTTTCCTCCAAAATGGAAAAGTGCTAGAATTTGCCCGATGTTCAAAGGTGTGTGATAATACCGAGCCATGTAACTATTGACCAATATTAATACTACCAATTTTATCTAAAATTCACACTGTATTTGATCAATAATAATAATAAACTATAATATAATAAATAATCACCTATATCCTTATCTCAATTCTCACTCCCTGATTTATGAAAAACAATCTGGCTTTAGACCATACTTTTCAACATCCTCTGCCCTTTTGAATGTAACAGGAGACTGGCTTGATGAGATAGATAAAGGGAAGTATGTTGGCCTTACAATGTTTTTAAAAATGTCAATCATGATATCCTTATCAAAAAATTAAATAATTTTTACATAAATAGACATGTAATAGCCTGGTTCAAAAGTTACCTATCAGGACGTATTCACACCACCAATGCAAATGGTATATCTTCACAGCAATGACAAAAAAATTTGTGGCATACCCCAGGGATCTATATTAGGTCCACTTCTATCCTTGTTATATGTAAATGATCTACCTATTGTTAAACATATGACAGTGAGTATGCATGCAGATGACACTGCCCTCTATTATACTTTAAAAGATATTAATGAAGTTATTAACAAAATCAATTTTGACCTTGGAAATGTAAACAAATGGCTATCCAATAATAGATTAAGTTTGAATGTAGATAAGACTTAATTAATGTTTATTGCTACACATCATAAATTACCTCAGTTATCAAACCTTGACTTAAATATTTATATTAATGGTACGCCGTCTTCAAAGAGTTACTCATTGTAAACATTTAGGTGTAATAATCGATGAAACTCTATCATGGAATAAACATGTAGATTATAATACTAGGACTAAAGTTATTCCAGGCTTGTTCTACCTAAAGAAATCAAGCTACTTGCTCCCTATAGTAGTAGCTCCTTACTTTGATTACGGCAATGTTGTGTGGGGTAGATGTAGCAAAACATTAAGCAATAAATTACAAGTATTACAGAACAGAGCAGCTAAAAAATAACAAATAAACAAAAATATGATTCTGGTACACAAGCACTTGAAGAACTTAAATGGTCCAATCTTGAATACAAACTTACCTTCAGTGAGAAAGTAATGATTTACAAAATAATGAATGACTTAACTCCAAATTATTTAAGAAATAAATTTTCACAAAGCCACCAGCATATAATACTAAATCTGCAAATAACCTGTACATAGATAAACCTAATACAGAATATAAAAGAAAAAGAGTCTGACATATCGTGGTACTGACTTGTGGAACAATATTGATGAGACCACAAAAAATAGTACCACCCTTAACATTTTTAAAAAGATTATTTCAACTAGATTATTTCAATTTTTAATTACAGACTATTTGGTAGAATCTCTGGTTTTAAGCTTTTCTATTCAATAGAATACAAATATAATATTTATTCAAATAGAATAAAATACAAATGAAAGGAAGTTCCTTTCATTTGTATTTTTGTAAGTAGTTCTTGTATGGTTGTTCATTTTATAATAGTTACGTTTTTATAATATGTTAAAGATACGGCCTCATTGAAGAACACCACCTTGGTGAACCAGCTTCCGTTGTAAAAGAAAACAGGACGTTTAGGTTATCAAATTACCATTCAAACAGCGACTGAATATCCACTTACAAATATAAAGCTCTCCAAAGTTTCATGTTGAAGTTTAAGGGAAAGGGCATTTGAATTTTAGCCTAGGATTAACCACCAAGTTACTGTGTAAATTAATTTCAAGAGTTATTACTAGGTGAAGAACCTAAATGTTATGATTGTGTTTGCATCCCTTACTTCATCTGATGAAATGCTGCTGCTCCTCAAGTCCTCAGCTGTTTTCTTTCTTCCTTCATGGGCCTTCATCTGAAGGAAAAAAACACAAAAAACCACATTACAAACATATCAATAAAAATTAATACAAGTATGATATGTAGCAAGCTTTTTCTATAACAAGAACAACAAAGTATTGTTTGAAGGTTTGCATGGCGAAGTAATAGCATATAAGTTAAAGCTTACGATACACCATGTAGGTAGTTCTGAATAGAAATGTTATAGTTGAAAAAGTCTTGACGTTTCGATTAAGTTGCTTTAATCGTCTTAAGAAGAATAATATCTTCAGAAATTCCAAACAGAGAAATACTTATATGTTTGGGTAGAGAGGCTGGTTGGTGATTGAATGGATAAACTGACCAATGAGAAGACTGCCAGTGAAAGGCTAAAACAAAAGCCATTGTTCACTGAGACAAAGGATGGGAACGCCCAAATAAAGGCATGGTTCCAGTGGCGGGAAAAGGGTGGGAACAACGAAAAACAAAGGCATAGTTCCAGAGTGGAGGGAAAGGGGATGAGAACAAGCATTGAAAAGATGGCAATAACCAATTACACAAGACAACAATCTGAGATTACAAACCCTCACCCTGTTGCGCCATATCAATGTATAGATTCGATTTGCTAGATCCACTGGTTGCTGTATTAATATGATAATAATAATAATAATATATCGTTCTTATATAGCGCAGGTTGTGTTGGAACCTACCAGGTACCCACTTGTACTCCTGGGTGGAGAGAGACAACCGTAGATAAAGTGCCTTGCCCAAGGACACAAGCGATTTGCACAGCCAGAGTTTCGAACCCCCAACCTCAAGGTTGGGAGTCCAAGCCACAACCGGTGCGCCAACCGCACTACATGATAGTGTAATTACTAACTATACAAACATATCAGGTAAAGTATAGCCGAGTGGTAAAGGTGAATGTATTACAGTATGTATAATGTGTAAAGTTGATTGATTGTACAAGTTTCGAATCTCGCTATTGTTTTGTTTGGGTTTTTTTTTAAATTATTTTATATTATATCCTTTGTATCAGCTGCACTCATACCGAAGTGGCACGCTCCACATATACTGACCAATACTCTGCTCCTTCCACTGCACTGTTCTAATGTAATTTGAATAATGAATTCTCAAATGTGTTTCTTTTGTAGCGTGACAAGTCCTTCTTAAAAATTTTGAAAATTCCTTTTGGTGTAAAATTATTTTTTTTATGATATTTTAATGAATGATGGGAACTAATATTTGTATTACACCTTAATTGTGCTACGTTATGTTACTTCCAGATCTGTGCACGCGTCTGGATGGTAAATTGTTACAAACATTACCAAATTTTGGTCCTTACTATAATTGGTATATGATTGTAAATGACAATGTAATATATCATACTTTGTGCAATCCGAACATGTCTTATTTCATTGCATATAAGATATACTATATCCGGCATATCCTATATAAACATTAGCATTGAATTTAATATTGTATTAAAATTAATTCTTTTAGGCCTACATGTTTATTTAGTTAATGAAGAAGCATCTCGTTATTATTGTTATTATTTAATTATAAGTATAATAATTTATTTAATTATTTGCGGCCGAAATACAGTCAGAATAATATGTCTCGCTCACAAAGATCAGTTTACATTCCATTTAACAGTGATATAGAAGTCGCTGGAGAGACTGCACAACTCCAGTAATTGTCCAGTAAGACAGCCTATTGACAATAAAGAAACCTTAAAATAATTTTTCTGCGTGATTTGTCAGACCTAAGAGCTTGTCTTGGCATTTTATATGTAGATAGATAAATGTAATGTTTTTTTTTTGCGAAATACCAGCAAGAAGACTATGCCCTGTAAGAGTTTATTAGAAGAAGGTTTTTCATTTTGGAAAAACGGAATCGTCCCATATGGCCTGACCAATAAAAATTGCTTCCGACAGGCCTGCGTACCAGGGCTTCCTTGGAAAAAGCAGTGCTAGTCACTGAATGGATACCCCTGGTTAAAGAAAGCGTATATAAGTAAACTCCAATGTTCCGCATCCACGTTCAGTACAATAAAGGTGGCTTTCCCTGGTTTTACAATACGTCTGTTTTTTTTGGTTTTTTTTGCCCCCCCCCCCCAGCGAAATCTTTTAATAATATATAAATTTTAAAAGGCAAATGGAAAAACCCATAAAACAGCGAATGGCCACATAATGCAAAACTATTTTAAAATTAAAACGGAACAGTAGAGAAAATCCGATCAGAACGACAAAATAAACTAAGCATCCACTGGAAGGAATCCCAATATCTCAAGTTTTGGGTCAAAAGTTGGCTCCTTTTTGGGAAAAACAACATATGCCTGTTACCATGGCCACAAGATTTTTTTTTTTTTTTTTTTTAGTATCTCATTTTTTTCATATTCACCCACAGTGTAATAACAAAAATACGAAGAAAATCTATTTTTTGAGTTTGGTCACCTTTTTCAGAAATTGGTCGATATTTACAGACAACCGCTCTTAAGTACTCTCGCCAAGTACCAAGCACATGTACTGCCATATGAAGAGCCTATAAAAAGATATCTATCTGTGGCCATATTATGAAGTCTGATCTACAAAAGGAACCATTCAATATACACCTCTGCTGTAATGGGAAACACACTTGAGCTTTTAACAATCCCTGTGCCTAAATATTGTTTAAAGATTTGCTTAATTAAAATCTCATTTTGTTCTGAACATGTATATGGTAGGTGAATCCCATTGGGAATAGGAGTTTATTTTCCTTTATAGCCTGCCATTCTATCTAAGAGTAAAACAGAATAAATAAATAAATAAATAAAATAAAAAATCACATGGAAGCAACTCGCATGATTCTACTTGATGTCTGTAAAAATTGAATATTCTATATTTAGGAGGGCCAGACAGAACGGATACTTTGAAAGTGTTGGAGAGTGGTTAATATCATAAATACTGTATGTAATAAACTTATGTTTACAGAGGATCGTATAAAAAGACTAGCAATTGTGTTTTATTGATCTGAGGAGCAAGTGTATTGACCTATGACTCCTCTGTTGTTGTGGCAGCATAAGACCTAGTCACTATACTACTACTACAGGCATATCTAGCTCAAGTCTAAACCTTTATATAACTATGTCAACAAACATGATTGACATGATCACCAATCCAGGGGCGTAGCTACGGGCAGTGATGAGAGTGCAAAGCATTGGGTCACAGGGCTATTAGGGGCTCATTCATAAATAGACTAAAAATAATAACTTACAGTAATTTATAATTTTATAATATTTTTAAAGAATAAAATGGCCAGTGGGCCCCTCAATAATATTGGGTTTTTAGAGGAGTAGTTATGATTACTGTGTTGATTTCCAATCAGTTGTGTATTCAAGGATGCCCCAGCCAGCCCATTCCCCACAATTAATTTTCAAAATCATAAAAGAAATGGGAAAAAAAGATATTATATTACAATTTAAGTCTGAGAATGCCATTTCCGGCCATCTAGAGGTGCTATAATCATACATTTTCGTACCTGAGCCCCTGAGGTAATCTTCATCCTCCACCCTCCCTGGCCCCTCTGTTTCGAATTTCTGAGAATTTTAAAGAAATTCCCCTATCACATCAAAGGGCCCCGGCAATTAATCTTATACTGCAGCCCTTTCGCACCTAGCTAGGCCGCTGCACCTATTTGAAGGCAAGACAGTAATTCTAGATTTATGCAGGAAGACATTCCATGAGGCCCAACAACAATTGACATTAGACAGACCAGCTACTTACAACAGTATCTATAGTACTGGCTAAGTAAAATGTTTCTGGCCAAAAACTTTTTTCAGTCTCTATAGTACTGGCTAAGTAAAATGTTTCTGGCCAAAAACTTTTTCCAGTCTCTATAGTACTGGCTAAGTAAAAAGTTTCTGGCCAAAAACTTTTTTCAGTCTCTGTAGTACTGGCTAAGTAAAATGTTTTCTGACCAAAAAACTTTTTTCTTGGTGATAGTGCCATAGTTCCTGAACTTTTTTTACACAAATAAATAACATTTTAATTTTAATCCCATTCTTAATTCCTATTTCCACATTTTTTAACTTCATGTAGGCTAGTTCATGTTTGAACTGTGCATGCAAGTGTATCTAAGGTCAATCAATATAAACCTATGTTGTGTGTATGTTTGTTTATGTCAAATGAATTTGATACAGGCATGCGCAGTTCAAACTACAAGTTGGCTTATTGTAAATTTAATATTTGTATTAATTAATTGCCATTATGTTTATGCAAATGAAATGTGGATTCAATTTTCCTATATCCAATATGCACTGTAGGAACAATAACTAAGCCTTGGAATGAACAGAATTAAATATATTGTGGGATAAATAATTTTAATAAATAAAAGTAAATAAAATATATGATCTCAGCATATACAATGACCATTCTAAAGTATAGTTCACACTAAAAATAAAGAGTGCCCTCAAGATTCATGAATGCAGGGATCAATATGCAGGCAGTATAAAGAGATCAATTATAAAGTAAAAAAATCAATTGTGATTGGTTGAGTGGAATCAATAAATGAGAAAATGGAAAATCTGACAGATTGATAAAAAAAAATAGAGGGAATGTGTAAATGACCTACAGAAAATGGGAATAAATTAATGAATGAATAATTTAAATGGATGAAAAGGAAGCCTGCTTGACAGAGAGTGATGGCTAGAGCAACAGCCGCAGCAAATGGGTAAACTGATGAATGATGGGTAGATTAATGATGATATCTGTTTTGATCGGATGAGCAAAATGCTGTCCGAGTCCATACGGTCAGCGACTTTCACAGCATGACATTAAATACTCTTAAAGGTTAACAAAAAAAAAGCAATGTTTGGCTCTTAGCTGCTTATCTTTAGCTATTGCTCTACCTATAATCCAGTCACATCATTTCAATTCCTTTGGCCGACTTCTTCTCATGCAAGACGACTGTCTTACCAGACTAATAATTCTAGATATTTTAAGTCTGTCTAGTGTCAAATCTGCAAATACACTTAAGGCACTCTTAAACCAAGCCAGAAGCAATGCCTGGATCGAACACATTCAACATCCAGGACAAAAATAATCCATCGAAACAGAAGGGAAGGAAAGGACGCTCAAATTATGAATTGTGGTCAAGTGATGGTCTGTAAATACAGAGAGTGGACTCTCTAAATTAATACAACGATTTCAGACTTCAATGCTTTCACAAATTTGTAGACTAACATCAGGTAGAATAAACAAGAAATAATGATAATTTTAAGTCATATTTTAGTTGGTTGGTCCTTGATTTAGAGTGTTCTTATGTATAGCTTGAAGGCATGGGCATTAAGAAGAAATTACATATGCACAGGTACAGTGAACGGAAGCTAAGTTAATGTGCATTTACCGGAAATTAGACATAAATAATAATAATGACAAATATGAAATATCAGAAAAAAAATTTATGGGAAAAATTATGGACAATAATAAAAAAGTGACAGCAGACATATTTTCAGACTTGAGAAATGAAATGGAAGGGGAAACAGAAGTGAAAGGGCCAAGGGGAGGATGGGGATTGATTGTGTTAGATTATTTAAATTAAGGATGGAAGATTGAAATTTAGTATAAAATGGCAAGCAGAAAATTAAAAAAAACTTGAATAAAGTGGTTATTTCATAGTTTAGACTTTGTGTGTTAATGATATAATGTTTTAATGTATTTATTGTAATGTGTATAAAGGGGAACCAATTTAACAGAAATTTACATAAGCCGTATGCCAGTCGTATAGTTTTTGCAGTTTTTTAGCTTTAAATGTCTGCCAGCAAATTTAAGGATTTTGTACTAAAATGTCTATAAATCATTCCAAAACTGATTATTTTTTTTTATCTGTGTATTATTCTGGCAAATACTATTTTACCTAACATGAACAGAACAATGCAGAACGAAAAAAATTCAAGCTATTTTGGTCGTCTTTTGTGGTTCATAAATAAAATCTAAAATAACAATCAATTCACACATCCAATCAAATAAAAAGAGAAAAAAAAGCAACAAAGTACCTTTTCCCATGCGTCATTTTGGGATAGTCTGCCTTCCTTGACCTCTGTGATGAGCCTCAGGATTTCAGCCTCTGACATTGTACTCTCCATTGCACGGAACGTATCTGGAAGATGGATTATAAATAGTTGTCAATATAATCATCAATATTAAATTGAGTGAATTAAAATCCTGGAATCCCTCCCTCGACTTTGTGTATGATGACTGTGATAGGTAACACCCTCATACTTTCCCTATATCTTTGATTAGTGTCTTAAAATGAAATGGAACTAAATTAGATTTCTCATCACTACTTTAAATTAAAAACAAATCCCTTAAGTCAACGACATCTCTGACATCTAGTCAATTCCGATTCAACCTGAAAAAACCCCAGCAGAAATCCCACATATCGATTAAAGCCAAAGGTAATTTTTTGCTGGTAAATGTCCAGAAATGACCAATATTGATTTATACTTGAAGATGACTGGTCAGAGGTTTAATGAAAATAATTATGCAGCGATGATGGAAACTGATACTTGGAATTCGTTATTCCTTGTTTGTTCAAGATAGCTGGCTCGTCTGAGTGATGTACAATATGTGAATGAAAACAGATTTGATCAACTCTGTAAGACCCAGGAAATGTGTCAAGATGAGAAGTTAAATTAAGAGCTGTCTAGTTGCATCCAAATTAATTACGAACTCAAACATTCTTCTTTTGTTCAGCAAGTTGTGCACAATAATATTAACTATTTAATGCAAAAATTTTTGATTATAGCACCTCATTTCAACTTGTATAGAGATCATAGGTGTAGATCCCGGGGGGATAGGGGATATATCCCCCCAATATTTGACAAGGGGAGATGGTCCATTGTATCATCCCCCCCAATATTTTGACTATGTATGGGATAAAATGGAGCTTTACACACTTCTAAAGACTGTCACAGAAATAATTTGCAATGTCTTATGTGCTTACAAAGATGAAAATTAGCATAATGTATTAATGTTGATACAAAATTATTTTATCTTGTACCAATCTAAGCTCTTCTTTCCTTAGATGTTAGATGTGCTTGCAAAGCAAGCCAAATTTTCACACTGAAGGGTGTGTACGACATCAGTAATTTTATGTCAATTCCAAGAATTTTAATGGTTATATCGGTTGATGAGCAATTTATTGATTATAATAGCAAGGAGGAACTTTTTAGGTACGCTAAAATTGTTCTGTAAGTGTCAGAAAAAGGTTAAAGGTTATAGATTTATATGAAACTGGCCAAAGAATTTGTGTCTCGATCAGAAACTCGTAAAAACAAGTTTGGCCATTTCATTTAAGCAGTTATGTGAATAGCGCATATAAATACTCATCATTTTTATTATGTTTAATACTTTACAAAACCATGTTAATACCAGTGGTAATAACAACAAAACAAAATAGGCATTAAGAGGTTTATCGTTCATGAGCGAATGTATTTATTATAAAAGTGTAAAAATGAAGAAAGTCAATAAAATACTATAAAATATTTACTTATTCTTCCACTTCTCTTTTTGCTTCACATCAATGACCTCCCTAATGGCATTCAACCAGGAAGCGCTGTGAATATCTCACAGATACAGATATGCCATATTGTTAATGGTAAATTTTATTTTCATTTTGATAAAAATTTCACTAAAAGCAGTCATCAAATTGCACCAATTTATTTTGCAAAAACAAGGTTTCCACCTTCAGAGGGGGGGGGGCACATCCCCTGTCTGCACAAGCGCACACATTGGCGCTAACATGCCAATCATCCCCTCCAATGAAAAATACTTTTCTATGCCACTGATAGTGATACTCTAGCCACGTACAGTTGGCAGTTTTTTCGTTGATATATGAAAACCACCAGAAAGTACTACTCTCACTTATTTTAATATTGTATCTATTTCATGGAATATTAATAATTATAATGCATTGTTCTTAATTTTCATGGTAACATAGCATAAATTCAGAATATTTCTGCCCACGTAAACTTTGTATGTGCACAGTGTTCAATTTCCATATGATTTCATTTCGCTTGTAACATGATCCACCACGGACAATGAACTTGTTCAACAAAAAAAATAATGGGCCGATTAGAAACATGGCAACAAGAATAGACTTGATCAATAATGAAAAGCGTTACGAATCGGAATAATTATCAGTATATGCGTGTTGTCGTTAAACGTGAATGCGTCAAGCTACGCCAGCTCCCAACACAAAATTAGAGTCCCTTAATCTCAAGGCACAATGCAATTCATCATGATGGCACCAAAAACTCCATGCCTTTTATTATTTCACAGCTTTTACAATGGAAAGTGGGTCAAATCTAGTGACTGTTATCAAGGTAAGAGTGCTTTGTCTCTCCTATTAACGGTCGTTTGGTGCGAGCAATCAACTGACACACGTTGCTAGTTTACCAGCTGTTTTTTGAAAAGTTTGTGATGTTGAATTGTACTGTAAGGGGCAACATCTGTTTTTGGCATTCTGTGACTCTGAGAATGAATAGTTCTTCTTGTCTTAGACATCAACAAATGAAATATTTTAATAAATATTAACAACTAAAAATGAACAAATTCAGATTGTCCCGGGAAAACAATCAACTGTATGTAATGGCTTGTTTTGAAGAGAGAAACTATTGTCAAGCACAATAGGAATAGCTAAAGACTGATTAAATAATAATTAAATTGAACATAATATACATTAATACTGCAAATCAATCACACCAGCATTTCCACGAAAAAACATTCTTGCATTCAAAATGTATTTTGTTACTTGCTACTCTCGCTAATTATGCCAAACATGTAGATCCATCAAATTCATAAGGGCTTTTGAGATGTTTGAATTGAACATCACCATAAATGCCAAATATTATTTGAATTGAAAATAATCTATAATGCTTCAGCACGTCATGCATATTCATGAGCTAATCTAATGTTACAAGTTTGAGCCAAGTTGTGGAGTGTTGTTTCAAAACATAAAACTGATTTAAACGAAGCTCGCTTGCTAAGTGAGTGTAAAGAGCAGACTCCAAGACTACGATTAAAGTGGATAAATAAACCAATTCCTCTTCTTTTATTACCACTAATCAACGAATCAATAGGCTGCCTACGTACATTGTATGGCATACGATATCGACACCACAGATTGGTTAATAAAGTTGCCAAACATTATGACACAGCTACGAAGAAACTGGTTTATCGTGTTTTATTTAGATTTAACGGATAAAAAAAAACTGGAACAAGGATCAACTTTTCTTTCACTAAGGCTGTTATCATTAATTTTTATGAGTACATGCAGAGTAATAATGGGACTTGTTACCATGTATGGTATTATACTACAGCCTCATTGTGCCAAGAACACATTCGACTATAAAAATTCTAAATCTATTATAAATTTATGCCCTGTGCCGTTTGCATTACTGTATGAAATAATGTAATTGGTTGAACAAATAGGAAAACTTTTCATGATATTGAACATCTGACTATATCATGTGGCTTACTCAGTGAAGCATGCCATGGTTATCTGAAATTTTGACTTAAATCCTGACGGATTCATGAGTTTACATTTACTCATAAAAATTAATGTGGAGGCTGTTTGGCACAGCAGGAAGGTTTGGTTTCCCAACCTCGGGGTCAGGTTTTCAATCCCTCGCTGTGCATTTCGCTTGCGTCCTTGAGCAAGACACTTTATCTGCATTGCTTTTCTCTACCCAGGAGTATAAATGAGTACCTGGTGGGGTTGCTTGTTCTTGTGCTGATTTCCAGTAGCAACACTTAAAGCATGTGGACCCAATAACCAGAGAAAAGAACTGCGCTTTATAACCACAAGGAAGAGACGCATTATAAATGTCTATACCACTTTCCTCCTCCTCCTCCCACCCTTAAATTTGTATACATTTACATTGCAAACCATAAATCTTAAGGTACTGTATAGCCCGATCTAACTGCTATGCTCAAGTTTGGTGCTCCAATGTCTAATAACGTTGTAGTTTGGTGTTCAAATCATATTTTTATAGAACTATACTTAAAATGTAACTTCCAATTGATAGACATGGCAGAGGTTGCTGCAATGTTGTGTTAACTGGAGTCTATATAATCTCTTGGTTCCTGGAATTTATTTATTAACCCTCGCATGAGAATTAGGCAGAATCAGGGACAATGTATTCATTACCTGTTGGTACCATCCTGGCAGTTCTAAAATTGGTGCATCTTCACTAGAATATATTGTTGTCTGTGCTGATGCAACATAATATCCATACACGTTTTTAACCAAGGGGCTATCGCATAATGATGATTTGCAATGTCGCCTACTTACAGAGAATTCATCATGAAATACAGCACAATACACAATGCAGTGTAACTGTAAGGTTAGTATAATGGGGCCTTAGTCAGGCAAGGCATAACAAGTGTAATTTCTGGGGGGAATTATTCCAATTAAATTTCTAACACTCATGGCAATAAATTGATTTGTAATGGCGGAAGAATGCTTGGAATATAATGAGAGAGGAGTATAATGGGCCAAGGAGGAGTAATAGAGACAGAGATAATGGGTAGAGAAATAACAGGGATAGAATTAATGCAAAGGGAAGTAGGAACAGGAGAATGAGGAAAGCAGGAAAGGGAATGTACATGGATAGAAGTAGGCTAAGAAAATAAGGAATGAGAGAATAGGGAACGGCTGGTGTAATGGAAAAGTTGATGAATAGTAGGATGGAAATAAGAAGAAATTGCTGAATGAGGAAAAAAATAATAGCAATGTAATTAATGAGAAGCAAAGTAATGAGAAATGGGAACAATATAAGAAAGAAGGTGATGGGAATGAAGTGAAATGCAGAGGGAAGACATGTGGAGAGGTGTAATTGAGAAGAGTTAAAAATCTATTTAAAAAAAGGAAAAATTAATGAATATATCAGAAAGAGAAATATTGAGAATATAAGTGATAAGAAGACAGGCCAATTAGAATCACTTCTATATGAAAAAATGAACACATTAAAATGTGGTAATAAGCCTAGTTGAGGCAACCAACACCTTCGGTAAATTGGATTGAATCAAGTGAAGTACCATATTTCAATTTCCCTGAAATGAAAATGTATCAGGTGGAGTAAGCAGGTTAGTGCAGGAGAGTAATTAAATGGGCCAAGGAGGAGTAATAGAGACAGAGATAATGGGTAGAGAAATAACAGGGATAGAATTAATGCAAAGGGAAGTAGGAACAGGAGAATGAGGAAAGCAGGAAAGGGAATGTACATGGATAGAAGTAGGCTAAGAAAATAAGGAATGAGAGAATAGGGAACGGCTGGTGTAATGGAAAAGTTGATGAATAGTAGGATGGAAATAAGAAGAAATTGCTGAATGAGGAAAAAAATAATAGCAATGTAATTAATGAGAAGCAAAGTAATGAGAAATGGGAACAATATAAGAAAGAAGGTGATGGGAATGAAGTGAAATGCAGAGGGAAGACATGTGGAGAGGTGTAATTGAGAAGAGTTAAAAATCTATTTAAAAAAAGGAAAAATTAATGAATATATCAGAAAGAGAAATATTGAGAATATAAGTAATAAGAAGACAGGCCAATTAGAATCACTTCTATATGAAAAAATGAACACATTAAAATGTGGTAATAAGCCTAGTTGAGGCAACCAACACCTTCGGTAAATTGGATTGAATCAAGTGAAGTACCATATTTCAATTTCCCTGAAATGAAAATGTATCAGGTGGAGTAAGCAGGTTAGTGCAGGAGAGTAATTAAGCAAACAGGTATGCATGTATCAAATTCATCACTTTACTTTGCGTGCTGTCATCCAACACAATGTACTTTTCTAAGGCATATAATTTGATTAATGCGGCGAAATTACAATGCTGATATTTATGATGTGTCGATGTTTACCTATATATTTTCTGTACCATGGCTGTGAAAATTACAGTGATTACCGTATACCACATTTCACAAGCAAGAACTTTCAATTATGTTAATTAGAAATACAATGGCTGATGTTTTTCGGTATGTTTTCTCAAATTTGCCCATAAGATAGTCATCTACACAGTTTTACAACATAAAGTTATTTAATCATACATATACTTTTAAAATAAAATAGTATTATAAGCTTATAGATTATTTGATTGTGTATTGTCTTGTTTGTGTATTATATTTGTTGTGTTTATTGAGGGTGATTGTCAAGAGCGGAAGGGTCCACAAATTAATTTTTAGGCCGGCAGGCACAAGTGGCCAATGTTTTGTAATGATATTATACGAACAATGACTGCTCATGAGGGGAATGTGAAATCTATTGTCCAGAGGTGATGTGGAGACCGTAGCCTACTATCTTCTTTTGTAGTAGGCTACAGTCTCCACATCACCGAGGGGCTATAGATGTTGCTCTTCCCCGAATCTTTATCAGTTAATAATTATATTTCTGTGTATACCTCATACATACTGTAAATTCTCAAGGCTAAAAAAATGTAATAATGAAAAGAGTACCCACCAAGTAGGCCTAGCCTAGGCTCTAAGCTTACTTCCTAGCAGTGGTGCCACCAGCGGGGAAGGGGGCAGGGGCTTGACAAGTACGGCTGAGCTCGTTGGGCAGTCGGCCCCCAAAAAAATTTTAAAACAGGCCTACACCATGCCAAAAGATGTCTTTCACAGTCATAGAATGCCATTTCCGGCCATCCAGATGTTCTATTTAAAAAAAATCTCACCAGGCATGCTCAAGCCCCCACTGTTGGACAACTTAGCTCCCTCCCCCCGTCCCAAAAAATGTATCCTAGAGCCGCCAACTGCTTCCTAGGCCTAGGCGGTCAAAGGCCAATCTCTCTCGTCATAGAGGTTGCAGTCCCATTTTACGTCTGTGCGTGTCATATTTATACAGCAACGTCTATGGGGCTTGGGAGATTAAATTGTGACAGGGCAAAAAAGTACTCATTTAACGCGATAGTACTTTTTTGCAGTGAATTTATGAACTATCATTCAAACCTACGTTATAGGGGTGATGGTTGAGTTATTACCTGCTTTTTAACCAATCAGATGCCTATGAATCTAAGTATGCAGTATATAATATATTATACATTATATACATAGAAAAATAGGTCTTTTTTCTATGAAAGGGCACAGACAAGCTTAATGTCGTTAATTTCTTGATACTGGGTCAAAATGATGAGTTAATTAAAAAATTGGAAGTTCACTCCGCACTGCTAGCTATTAAATTATAACTTGATTTACTGTTAATTACTTATGTTATAGCATCTGGACAAAAATTCCAATTGTAACATGTTACATTTTTCAATAATTATATTATACTTCAATTCTTGAAGAAACATAGTTTTGTTTTATGTATTTCTCATCAGGTAATTATGAATTTATTCTTCTACTACTCAATTAGGTTACCATGCAGACATGAGTTTAATAGGCAAAGGTCACAGATTACTCTGCAACCATTGAGCTCAATGCTGTAACCATGGCATTAATCGTTACATTCAGGTCATACCTGTAGAGATACTACATGAACATTTTTAGAATAGAAGAGTTATCATTATTATCTTTAAATAGTTATCTAAAAATACCTTTTTAACTTGTAATTTGCATGCGATTTGGCCTTAGGGCCACGATATGTGGAGTTTTTAAATAAAATTGAATTGAATTGAAATATACACTTTATTATTTTTAGAAAGAATTTAATTTTAATACTTTACAGTTATATTTCTATTATACAATATGTTACATTTGTTGCACCTGTATGAGGGCCTCTTTGAAACAGATTAATGTGAGATCAATCCTCTTGAAACATTTCAGAATAAATAGAAAAGAGACAGTCAAAGTGTCCAAAAGAGAGATGGGCAGAAATACAGACAGACAGACTGGAGGAAGTGGCAGGAAGCTATTAGATGAGCAGTGAGATTGAATGCAATAATAAAGAACCTAATAAGTTAAACATAACTTGCTACAAGCTCTAGGAGAACATTTAACAGTGGCACAAATTCCTTTTTATACCATGTATGGCCATAATTAATGGAGATTACCTTTTTGGCCCTGTGGTTGGGATTGACTCCTCGCTTTTCGGCCAAACAGTGAGAAAAACGAATACTTTCTTTGAACACATTGCGGTGAAACTGAAATAAAACATGAATTTGGATTTAACAACTGTACTAGAATAAATTTATGGAATTAGCAGTGCTTGAAATAAATCTTGAAATATAAAATATTCAATATTTCAATGTGAAAAATTCACACTTATTTATGTGATGTGAAATGTACATTTAACAGCTGTAAAGAAAAGTATTTATTCATTGTCAAACATATACTGTATGATAAGGTATTTGTACAAATTACTTCAATCACTGGTATGAAACAAGTTGAGTGGATCAACAAATGGACAGGAACCAATGAACAGATGAATTGATAAATAGATGAACAGATATGAATGGATAAATGAATAAATAGACATAAATGAATGCATAAATGGGAAAAAAATACATAAATGGATAAATAGATGAATAGACATGAATGAAAATATAAATGGAAAAAATATTTGAATGTATAAATAGATGAACAGACATGAATGAATATGGGGAAAAAACGTGAATGGATAAAATAGATGAATAGACATGAATTTCAAAATACTGTAGAAGAACCGTCATGAAATGAAAAAAAGATTAATAGACATTATTAAATACATAGACGAATAGACATGAATGGGTAAATAGACATGAATGGGTAAATAGATGAATCGACATGAAATGAAAAATAGATGATTAAACAGGATTATATAGATGAATAGACATGAATGGAAAGATAAATGAACCAACATGAAATGAAAAATAGATGAATAGACATGAAAAGAGAACTAGATGAATAGATATGAACATTTAGATAGATGAATATACGAATGGAAGGACAAATAAATGTCCACAAATGAATTTGTTTGAGTGTATGAGAAAATAAAGGACCACAAATGAATGAGTTTAAGTGGATGAGTATCTCTAACAAATACATATTTAAATGATTGAATGAAGGTATAACTAAGTGAATGAATGAACACATCTTAATGAATACATTGAATGAAAGTAATTAATGATTTAATAAACGATCACATTAAGTAGACCCATGATAATACTATGTACTCCAGATAATCATGTTATTAATCTATCACATCATGCTAGGATGCTGAGTACATCAATTATTTCATACAATAGAGCTGAACCCTAAATAGTAACGTTAGAACAACACCTGCTCCTAAACACCGTCAAAGGTAGCCTGCAACAAATTTAGTATGTGATATACAGTGTAGCAGCAGACTAGCCCTTAATATCTTAGCTACACACACTCTCAGAGTTGATATCCAGTGACCTACATGTTGAAGTGTATTAACAGACCACATAAATAATAACATAAATGTGCATTTGTTTGTTGTTGGGAACGTCAAGATTTATAGGGCTGCAGTGGCGTAGCTAGTGGAGTCAAGGGGGGCACGTGAAACGGGCGCCAGGTTTGTGGGGGGCACTGAAATGGGAGAATGAGAGTAAACAAATAAGCACTTTTTAGAAAAATACGACGAAATTGATATATGTCGTCAGGCATGAATATTTTCTAGTTAAATAATAAAAATCTGAATGTAGTTGTTTTTATTGGCAAATTTATAGATTGCGATTTCTTTTCAGTCCATTTCGATCGTTTTCTCTTCTTTTTTTTTACCCTATTCTGTAATCACTACATGACTACAGCTCATCCTGCCATATTTCAGAGCAATGATGGGACAAGAGAGACTATCTGCTTTGGCACTACTTAGTATTTTGCGTGATGAAGCAGACAACATTGCTAACTTTGATCATGTTATTAACTTATTTGCTGATGCAAAAGCACACAAAATTCAGTTGCAAGTTTAAACAATGTTAAAAATTCAGCAACTTACAAGAATCTACTATAAGATAAATTTAAAGAATAAAAATACAAGCTATATGCGATAAATACAAATTAGGATAATGGTAAAGTTGTATACAAAGTTCCGAACATCTTAATGCGGTTTCAATAGTATGAAACAGGAGTGGCGCAACCGGGGCCAGGGCCCCACCTTCGTGGATAGCTGTCCCCCGGGGAGAAAAACAATAATTCGTCGGGGACAAAGCTAGAATAATAATAGTTATTCGGGTTTAAATAATGTTATTTAGACAGTACTTATTTTTACAGTGCATGATATGGACGTACTGTACGGATGCCTAAAGTCTAGTCTATAAAACCAATATCAATTTATTTCAAAAATTATAATTATAATTGGGGTGGGCAATTTTCTACTCTTTCCAACGGGCGCCAAAACCTCCAGCTACGCCACTGTAGGGCTGGAAGCAATCAGTCAGTTACTCATTGACTTTTATGGGAACCAATAAAAAGTAGTGTTCTTATGGGTGTTTTTGATTAAATTTTTGATTTGATAAATACAAAATATACAACAATGTAAACAAACAGATACTGTAATATGATATCTATACAATAACTACTTACAAAATATGAGTCTGAATAATACTGATGTGGTTTTAAATATGAAAAAAAAAATGTGATGCAAAAAATAGAAAAAAAACCGACTTTGTGAATGCAAAGCACACATGAGCATCACATATCATGTGATATTACGGCTTAATGTCAGGTGACGTATATGATCATTTCAGTGGATATTTTTTTGTCTCAAATTGGCAGATACTTCTAGCAACGATATTGCTAAATTGATTCTCCTGCCTTTCTTCGCATTTTATATCGTTTGACAGAATGCAAAGCCACGTTGAAATGGATCAACAGTGATTTTTGACACATGTCAGAACTTATCACTTTTTCACTTGCCAAATAAATGCAGAGAGCAACCTGTGAAAATGCATTAATTTTTCTCACACTATAATTTTCGATTTTACCCAATTTTACAGATTTCAAAATATGTAGTCAAAATAGATCATCTATAATACGATGAGTCATTAGAATTCCCTTTTCACAAGCTCTGCTTGCTTCTGAACTTTAAGAATTTAATCGTGAACAGTTACATGATTAATCATCTGAATTATAATAATATTTTCATATTGTTTATTTTTTCATCCAATTTCAATGCACTGTAATTGTACATACAATCATTTTCCCACTCAACTAAATTTCTGAATGGTAATTTCTTTTCCTCTGATAAATTCACCCCTGGTTATTTGTGGTTACTGAGCATTTACCACCAATTAATTTTTGTTTACATAATCTCATCACATACATATTATGTTATTACTCAACTTAATTTGTATAGTGCTCATAAGCAGTATATTAGAAATTTTGGCAGCTAAAGAGGATATTTAGTCCTCTTACTAAGAGTGGGTACTTTTTACTAACTTTTTAAGTACAAAAATAAGTCTGAAGCCCAAGAATACTCATCAGGGAGTAGAACTTATTAAATAATATTCCATTTGGGCAAGGCATTTCACATAGTTACTTGCAAGGATATAATAATTACTCTTACAATAATTTTGAATTTACTTTTCTTTGTACAGTATATGTACTTCAATTTAACTTTTGATATTTAAAATTCTTCGTTTTCTTTGTATCTTCTTGCAAAAAAGGCCTTGTGAAAAACACCATTATGTTGATACAAGTTTTTTCCGTTTTAAAATAAAGTTATTATTTATATTATTGCAATTCAAGTGAACTTAGCAAGTAGATTAAGCAATTTGTAAGTTACTTACAAACTTTGACATTTGAATTTAATAGAATGAAATAATTGTAAATAGTATTCTTTAATTTGTTTATGGACAAAAACACACTTTATATTTAATAATGAACTCGGTTTTCCACTAGAATTTCCAATACCACACAATCAGATATCACATACATTTTACTGTATTTACTTTAATAATTATCAACAAAACTGTTGTAATTAATATTTAATCTATAAAGCAAGGCCTACATATAATGTAGATTTAAGTCTTTTAAAGTGTAAAGTGTTTGAAAGCCAACTTTTGATAGATAGTGCAATTTTTTTTTTTTTTACCAGTATTTGAAATTATGCTTATACAGTATCAGTGTAGGTTTGTGACAGTTTGATAAAATAATATTATAACTTTAACTGATAATTAAAATTCTACAGTAGGTCTTAATATATAAATATAAAAAAGTGTTAATCAGCTTTGATTTTAGAAATCGTTCCTTTGTTCCCATGACACTGAAAGGTGGAAATAAATTATCTATAAATTTTAAATTTAAACAAAGGAATACTGTAAAATATATTGTATCACATCATTTGAATGTTATTTCTGTTTCTCAGTTGGAGTGAAGTAATTTTCATATATCTTGATCACACTTATGTCAACATTAATTTTCACCCATCATTAACTTTTACTGTCAACCGCGATCAAATCTCTCTTTCACATTGCATGCAACTTTTACAGTGAAGCTCAATCTGATCTCCCATTTCACATTGCCAATCAAAAACGTAAACATAAAAAGGACTTGATTTCTTTGTTTCATATATTAACCAGGTCTTCCATTAATTCATTAATTATTTATGAATATTTAACATTGGTTATCCACACTAAAGCACACACAAATCATGCAGCCTGAGGGACTAAATATTTCCGGTTCAACTGTCCCACCAGAACAAAGACGCATCAGATCAATAGTCGTCAGTAAATCATAATTATTATTAAATTTTCTCAAATTGAACTGGCTAACTATGATTTACTTCTTTTGTTTGTTCATTTCTTCTGAGCACGCTCAGTGGAGCTCCTTCTGTTTTGGAGAATATTTTATTTGTTGGCATGCTGCCACGAGTGGACGTGATCCTATAGGCACGTATCACTCCACCATGGTAAGGCATTGATTATTCAATGATGATAGTGCTTGGAAGACATGCTGTATGCACTCATGCGTGACAAGATGTAACGTATGGATGAGTGTGTACAAATGCAGGCCATGCTATTTAAAAAAAACATGTTTTATTATGAGAATTCTGAAGATTGCACAGTTTACATTATTGATTCTGTATCCAATGACCAGAAAAAAAAGATGCAATTGGCAACCCAAGGAAATAGGTGCAGTTACAATCGACCTAAAATGTGTGCTATGTAAAAAATATAAAGACAATAAAATGAATTTAAGAAATTAACACGTTGACTACCAGTGATGAGTATATTTGACCCACAGGGTGTTGCTAAGGGTGCTAGGGACGACTATAATCATCAAAATCGGGGTAATATTTTACCATTTATTACTTCCTTGTTATACATAGTAGAACCACAGACTTAACGGCCCGTAGTTCGTGGAAGATACACATGGACAATAACGTACAAATAACGGATGTATGTTTGTTGTGTTATCTTACCAGTAGTACACTCGATTGCATGATTGGGGCACATATTCCAACCCATGCAAAAAGCTGACGAGAAAACTTGCACTTGGCAGAGACAATAAAAAATGCTGTCCAAGTGCCGGCGACAAGTTTACTCGTCCCCTAATTTTTTCCTGCCAATAATTAGACACCATTTTGATGATATAGACTAGATAGTAGATAGAATTTCAAACCAGACCTCTGCGAGGCCAAGGTTCCTATGCGGGCATTCGTAAAATATTGCACTACTGTATTTTCGATGATGTAGACATGGCAACTAACGAGGGAGTGCTCATGTTAATTTGAGATGACAAACAAATTTAAGGGCAGATAGTTTCAGTTTTATCGTATGTAATCATAGCAATCATCAGGTGCTAGAAGTACCTCATGAAACAGCCTGTAGTGCAATAAAATGTTGAATTTGTAACCAAGCGTCAT